ATATATATACACCTATACATATATTATACATACACACATACATATACACACATAACTTTACTCATGTATAGGCAAGAAATATTGAACCAATGTTACTTTTTAAGAGTGATAGAGTCTGTGATGGTGAACGTTCCAGAGAGGACGTTGGACGGCACCTGTTTCTTCTGATTTGGCTGTTGACCACCACAGAACAGACTCATCCCGCCAGCTTTAATTACCCATTTCCCATCTTGCCAAAAAGCCATGGACTCTGAAGATATCGACAAACTTCTTGAGATCGTTTGCTTGGAGGCAATGAGGATCCGGTCAAAGTAGGCCAACTGTAGTTGTGGTACGGGCAAGGACTTGTCATTCCAGCTGATGTAACATTGAAGAACTTCTTCGCCGTCAACGTCACCCACATTTGTAATGTCCACCTGGACACCCAGACTAGCTCCTGCCTTGATTGTTGTGTTGTACATCAGATTAGAGAAATTGAACTGGGTGTAGGAGAGGCCATAGCCGAACGGGTACAAGGGATCGCCCCTGAAGTAGCGGTACGTTCTACCCTCCATAGAGTAGTTGACCATGGGTGGAATCTGCGTACTGTACAGGGGCCAGGTGTTGGGCAGTCTACCTGCCGGGGAAGAATACGGCCCGGTGTTGGTGAGTACATTGTACAGGGCTTTCCCAGTAGACTGTGCGGGAAAGAAACATTCCATAATGGCTACCACGCGGTCTGACTGGTCGGCAAACGTAATGTTGAGAGGACTGGCAGAGAAGAGAAGCAAGATGATCTTGGCGTCACCGCTGTTGTCTAGAACATCCAGAAGAAGTTCTTTCTGGTGTCCTGCAAGCTCGACATCCGGCCTGTCGTGTGCCTCTCTTTCAACAGCCCGACCAGTACCAAGAGTAACAAATACCAGTTCCGCATCTTTCACTATAGCAGGCACGGCAGCTTTGTTGTACTGTGTACACGGTGTGCTGTCATTGCACGCATGTCCGTATTTGGCATTTGGGTAGAGCGTTTTCACTGTGTCCAAAGGAGTCGTGAAGAAAGATTTATCTTGAAAAGGTTGGTAGTCACCACTCAGTTGTTCTGTATCGTCACTCATTGGTCCTATAATTGCAACTTTGCTAAACTCTCCTTTCTTCAAGGGTAAAATGTCGCCATGGTTTTTTAACAGCACGAAAGACTTCATGGCGGCTGTGACAGCCACCTGTTGGTGTTCAGCAGATTCGATCAGATCCATACTCAGCTGGGCGTACGGGTTATCGTTTACCGGGTCAAACTCCCCGAGCCGCATGCGTGTGTAAAACAGTGGTTTGACTCTTTCCCTCACCAAATCCTCAGACAGTTTTCCCTGTTGAATAGCATCAACTATAGACATATAAACGGGCGTGGGGAGATTGGTTGAAAGTTCCAGATTCGTACCAGCGTTAACACAGGCCGCCACAGCATCCACGCTATTATTACAATATTTATGTTTCGAGATGACATTTTCGATGGCAGCTTGGTCGCTGACGACATAGCCCTTGAAGTTCCATTCTGTACGCAGGATGTCTGTAAGCAGCTTTTTGTTTGCGCATGCCGGGACACCGTTCACACTGTTGTAGCTGCACATGACGCTGTAGGTACCGGCCTCTACACATTTCTTGAAGGCGGGCAGAAAGGTCATCCTCCAGTCCGTGTCAGAGACGATAGCATCAAATGAGACCCTTGACACTGGAATGTCTTCAGGCCCTCCATGAACGTCAAAATGCTTGCATCCAGCGCTAGTCATTATGAACCTTGAGTCTTCACCTTGGATACCAGTGACAAATTTTTTTGCCAGATTTCCAGTCAGGTAAGGGTCCTCGCCGTATGTCTCCTGATTTCTACCCCACCTGGGATCTCTCAAGATATTGATGACCGGACTGAAGCAACTGGCACCTGTGTGGGATCTAAAAATGCCCCGTTTGACAAAGTCGTTGTGTTTGGCTCGCACTTCTTGACCTGTCGCTCGGGCAACGTTGTACAGAATATCCGGGCTGAATGTGGCCGCAAGACCAATAGCCTGGGGGAAACCTGTTGCATTCTCAATTGAAGACGCGTCACCTCGTAAACATTCTGTAGCCCACTGATATGATCCAATACCTAATCTAGGAATGGCCGGGGCTGGACCCCCAAACTCTCCAACTCCGCCCCTGGACATCTGTACCTGAATCTCCTCCAGGGTCAGTCTGGACACGAGATCATCCACACGCTCATCCCACGGCAAGTTGGTGTTCCGGAACGGGAAGTCGCTGAACTTTGCCTGTTCCTCCTCAATGTTCATGTGTCTGATTGTCTTAGAATGATTACGTCTGTAAGATTTCGAGCTAGTGGTTCCATGACTTGACAGAAAAATGACGAGTATAAGTAAGCTTTTACAGCACAGGAGTCTTGACAACATCTTTGTCTTCATATTTTCGGAATCTGTTTCGAACAGAAAAGAAATAAAGAATTTTTTTAAAAATTCAAGCACAAAGTTTTTTTAATCTTGCTAATCAAAACCAAAGAAACTTTTAAGATCATATGATGGGGGGGCTCTCGTGATCTAGAGGTATAGAGTCCACCTCTCATTCAATAGGTCTCGGATTCAAAACTTGGCAGCTACGAAACATTTTTATCTCTAAAATTTTTCATTTCTCCTCCTTTCCGGTTCTCTAGTCTTGTTTTATAACTTTCTTTCATCTCCACTCCCCCCCCCCTACACTCCATCCCTCACCTCCGGCATCATTTGGGCTACTCTCCTCTTAACTCTTGACTCTTTATACCGTATCCCTGGTTCTATATTACTGCTGATTTTAGGGTAAGTAGGATCGAACACCCCGGATAAGGGTGAATAATTTCGGATGTCCCTTGTGCACGTTATGCACGTTAAAGACCCGCTGGTGATTCTAAAAGCAATAAGGATATTTGTTCTTGAATTCATACCGTTTGTGGAGTTTTCGAAGATCTCAATCCATTTGGCACTAATCTATCGGAGACAGACGTTAAATTCGGAGGTCCTGCCTCTTAAATAACGTACAAGTGCTGACAGAGGCGTTAATCCCATATACGTACACAGCTATCACTTTGAAACTTCCTTTCTTGCCAGGCCAGACACTACCATACAATATGCAGAAGTCCAAACCAGCTTCATCTTCCCTGTAACAAAACAGTGTCGTCGCTTTCCTTGTGAGTGTTTGGAAACGAACTCAATGTCAGTCTTCAATGATCCATGTTGAAAAATTCAAACTCTATTAATGACTGTCTTCTTGACGATATTAATATATCTAGGGATTTCACATTGTTAAGTCTCAAACCTTTGTAAGCCTTGTTTTCCTGATGAAAAAAGCCATACTTTAAATCTATTAACTCAGACTGGCTTTGGAGGTACGCAAACCGGTTTCTTTTAGACATCAGTTAAATTTAAAAAAAAGAAAATATACATACCAACTACTTCACAAAAGCAAGTCCCATGACAAACTAATAATGTGCGGCGGCTACACGACATTAAGTAGCTGATATGAACAAAAACTGTCCACAGGCCAAACAGTTAGATGTGCTTGATCTGATTAAATTGAGAATTTGTGTCATATTTGTCATTCTGTCTACTTCTTCAATTGATATCTTGGACAGATCAACGACAACCTTTTGATATAAATGTACAAGGTCAAGGGGCCTTAAGAAATTCTATTACAGAGCGCTGACTTCGAGATTCTAAGGTAAGAAAGTCCAAGCACTACTGTTAATCGCGTTGCATACTAAGATAACAGAGGAAAACAACTACTGTTGAATCAGCTTGACAATTATTGCCAATCAAGTTCGATCGTTCGTGTTTGCCATTAAATTCCCGGATCAAACCGATAAAAACTAGTCACCAGCATTTGAAGGAATGTGTATTTTATTTTTTTATGCGACCTACAATATCATATTTTCTTAACTTAAGCTGTTCTCTAAATGTTCACAGGAGTGCCATACAAAGTTACGAGCACGTTGGCAAATTAATAAATGAGCTTGATTTTTTTACAAATTCGGACAGACGCGAGTGAACAAGTTTTTATAGTCTTTGATCGGGGATGGAGGGGGTGACCCCAGACACTTTAAAACATTGATGCCGACGGACTTAGCCAAAATACAAACTTGTTTGTATCTGATTTTTCAACTGCAAATTATGGGCGTAGACAAAAGCGCTATCGATTTCGCAGAAAAACCCCCATCAGAATGGTCGGTGATCTAGTCAGGTCTATCGGCTCCGATGTAATTTAAGAAATGATGCCTTCTAAAATTGTATTATATATTATGAATGATTATATAGTTAACAAGAAATTGACGTTAAATAGAATACAGCTTAGATAGATAGATAGATAGATAGGTAGATAGATAGATAGATAGATAGATAGATAGATAG